AGCGCTCAATAAAGCAGGCACACATGAGTAAATGAGTCATTACACATGCTTCACTTCAGATTTGAGTGGGTGGCAGGCACCCGCCTCCCTAACCCCGGGAAGCGGGGCAGGCGTCGCGGGGTGCAGCCTTCTGCGCTGTGCACACATTGAGATTGAGCGTCCATTCACAGAGGCCCATTCCTCCCCATTTGCCTGATGCTCCCCTTCACGGGAGAGGCATAAAACTCCTTTAAGATGCCTTACCTGCTCTCTGCAATAATAATTGGCAGTTACTCAACTCCCGAGGGTGTCATAAATAACCGCACCGGGAGGCTAGGCTGCCATCATTAGCTAGGACTGGATTGAGCTGGTTTGAAGTCATGCTGACTTACCTCACTCCGCCTGTTCTGACTATTTATTTTTATGTTTATATTTTCATTTTATATGCATGTGTGTGTGCCTGCTTGTCTGTATGTGCTTCACATGTCTGCAGGTGCCTACAGAGGCCAGGAGAGGGCACTAAACTCCTTGAACTGGAGTTCAATTATGATCCACCTGTGTTGGGTGCCAAGACCAAAACCCAGGTCTTCTGGGAGAGCTATAAGTGCTCTAACCAGTGAGCCACATCTCTATCCCTTATTCCAAATCTTGCCTCTTGGTGGCCCCTTGACTGAGCAGGTCATTTCCCCCTTACCCATATAGATATATCCCAAGACCCCTGAATAGATGTCCAATGGAGCTTAGAGAGTATGAAGTCCTAGACAGGTTTATTTCCTTCTATATGTACTCTTAGGGTTTGGATGTAAAAGGTCCCCCAACAGGCTCCTGTATTTGGAAACTTGGTGCCCAGATGGTGGCACTGTTTTGCAGAACCCTCAGGAGGTGGATGGGGCCTTGGTGGAGGGAGTGGGTCCCTGAGAGAGAGAGGCTTGATGGTCATAGCCAGTGCAGCTGCTCCCAGTCTTGTCTGCCTCCGGAACCACCAAGAGCTGCACCAGCACTATACCTCCCCACATGATGCACGGATAACCCACTGCAGTGTTTGTTACATCAGCAGAGCCATGTGCTACAAGCTTGTTCAGAGCAGAACTCTGGGATCAGGGAGGCCTCTTGTCTTCTCCAAACCCCACTGTCCTGGGTCAGGGTGGCCTCCTGGCTTCATAATAAGAAGTGAGGAGACAGCAAGCAGCTAAGGGTATTAAAAGGCTGCCTGTGTAAACCAGCAGGATGGCTCAGTGGATAAAGGGGCGTGTTGCCAAGCCTGAGAGTCTGAGTTCGATCCCCGGGATCTACATGGTAGAAGGAAGGACCTGACACCTGAAAGTTGCCCTCTGACCTCCACACCATGACACGGCAAGGGCTTGCCTCCTCACCCCCATATAAACAAACAAACATTATTTTGTAAAAATCCGTACCCTTGAGAACAGCTAGAATGTAAGCTATTTCCAACAGAATTGTTTATCCGTGTCATAAAAATGACTGTGGTGAGAGCAAGAAGCCAGAAGTTTAACCATGGAAAGAAAGCTCAACTAGGGAACCCCAGCTGACTGCCTCGGCTTCCCCTGTGGATTCCTCCTGGATGTTGTTAGCCCCCCCCCAGTCTGATGATGTTACTTCCTTTTGTACTCTCTGTCTGGCTACTGCAGTCACCTCTTGGATGTGGTGAGAGCCTGACGTGATAATCTTTTTCTCTGTCTGCCGCTTCCTATCTTTCTAGTTGGGCTTGCAGTAAACTTAATAAACCCACTCATTCAAGACCAAAAGTGCAGGGGGCTGGAGAGGTGGCTCCGGAGTTCAAAGCACGAGTTGTGCTTTCAGAGGACCAGATCCGGGTTCAATTCCCAGCAATCTCATGGCAGCTCACAACTCCAGTTTTGGGGAATCTGATGCCCTCCTCTGCCCTCTTAGAGCATTGCACACATGTGGTGCACAGACATACATGCAGGCAAAATACCCATAAACATAAAAAAAAAAGGAAAAGCTTTTTTTTTTTTGCTTTGCTTTGCTTTTTCGTGACAGGGTTTCTCTGTGTATGCCTGGCTGTCCTGGAACTTGCTGTGTAGACCAGGCTGGCCTTGAACTCACAAAGATCCACCTGCCTCTGTCTCCCAAGTGCTGGGATAAAAGTCATGTGCCACCGCTGCCCAGGAAAACATTTTTTTAAAACAACTGAAAGTAAAGCTATCGCCACAGATCATTCTCTAGACAGAACATTCCCCAAAACATGAACCAAAATAAACCCCTTCCCTTGAGTCTCTTCTGCTGGGTGTTTGATGACATCAATGAGGAAAGTAGCTGATGCCAAAGACCCATGCCCGTGACAAAGCCCGATCTGGAAAGGGTTAACAAGAGAACTACAGTGAAGTAGAGCAATGGCACCAACACGCTGTGGTAGAAGTTTGTGGGTGTGCTCACAATGCTTCTCTCTCTCTCTCTCTCTCTCTCTCTCTCTCTCTCTCTCTCTCTCTCTCTCTCTCACACACACACACACACAGGTATATATTCTTATAAATGACCTTTTTTTTGCTTATGGCATCTCTTTGTTTGCTCTCTGTCCTGGTTTTCTCTGTGTTGCTGCTATAAAACAATGACCAAAAGCAACCCGGGAAGGAAATGTTTCGTTTCAGCTTACAGGGCACAGTCCATCATCAAGGGAAGCCAAGGTAAGGAAATGAAGCAGAACCATGGGGGAGCACTGCTCCGGCATGCTTGCATGGCTTGCTCAGCCTACTTTATTAGACAACCCAGAACTATCTGCCCAGGGAAGGCAGTGCCCAAGGTGGGCTGGGCCCTCCCACATCAGTCATCAATCAAGAAAATGTCCCACAGAGTTGCCTACAGCCAGTCTGATAGAGGTGATTCCTCAGTTGAGGGTCCCTTTTCCATGATGACTAATTTGTGTAAAGTTGACTGAAGAAACTAACCAGCAATCGTGTGTGTGTGTGTGTGTGTGTGTGTGTGTGTGTGTGTGTGTGTGTGTGTCCTATAGCCTGGAGTTTGCTAAGCAGCAAAGCATGACCTTGAGTTCCTCCTGCCTCTACCTCTGAAGTGTTGGAATTATAAACATGAACCACCATGTTCAGTTTCATCTTTTTTGTTGTTTTGTTCTGTTTTTCAGGAAAGGATTTCTCTGTGTAGCCTTGGTTGTTCTAGAACTAGCTTTGTTATCCAGATTGGCCTCAAACACATAGAGATCCACCTACCTCTGCCTCCTGAGTGCTGGGATTAAAGGTGTGCACCACCACCGCCTGGCTCATGCCAAGTTTATACAGTGCTACCAACTGAGGCACATCTCAGACCCACGTTTGCTCATAGTGTTTCCTGGTCCCACTATGATCAAGAGGCTGAAGAAGAGAAAGACGGGAGACAGAGGCTGGGGGAATCCTTAACTGCTTAGTTCCAGACCCAGAAACTCAAACACAGACACCTTCAACTACTGAGCAGCTGTTCTCACATGGCAAGGACTCTTGTACTGAGCCATACCCTGGCCCTAAGCTGTGCGGGTTTTTGGTTTGAGGATTTTATTTGTTTGTTTGTTTTGGTATAGGCAGGACGATGCATGCCATGGCAGTAGAGGTCAGAGGGCTCCTTCTGCCACGTGGGAACTCTGGTCATTTGGTTTGGCATCAAGCACCTTTATCCACTGAGCCATCTCAACAGCTCTGGAGCTTTGGCATTTGCTTTGTGGGGTCTTTTTTGTAATATTTTTTATGTCTGTTGGTGTTTTGCCTGAATACACATCTGTGTGAGGGTGTCAGAAACCCCGATCTGGAGTTACAGACAGGGCTGAGCTGCCATGTGGGTGCTGGGAATTGAAACCAGATCTTCTGGAAGAGCAGCCAGTGCTCTTAACTGCTGAGCCATCTCTCCAACCTCATGTTTTGTGGGTTTTTTAGACAGGGTCTCATTCATGTGTCCCTATCTGATTTTGAACCTCCTGACTCAACTACCTGAATGCTAGGATTATAGGGATGGGATGTACCACTACACCCTGCTCAAAGTTATGTGTGTGTGTATACTAGTGAATATGTGTATTCGTGTGTATATGTGTGTTAGTATATTTGTGTGTGTGTGCACACGTGCATACATGGTGGAAGCCAGAGGTCAATCAATCACTGTTGTCCTCTTAAGTCACTCTCCACCTTAGTTTTTGAGACAAGGTCACTCACTGGCCTGAGGTTCATACATTATCTAGGCTGATGAGCAATGCAATGTCAAGGCTCTGCCTATCTCTGCCTCCCAAGGCCTGCAATTACAAGTTTGCATCCCATCATTTTTTTTACATAAAAATGGAATGTCACTCAGGTCCTCATGCTTTGTAGAGAATGTCGTACTGATTGAGCCTTCTACTTGGTCCCTCAATGTGTCTTTAAGGAAGTACCCTGTGCTTCTGCAGGCCAGTATCACCGCCCATCACTGCTGTGAAGAAGCAACCTTCCTCTGAGAACTGGGCAGGATCCTGTACACAGGCCATGCCACTCTGCATATCTCTATCACACTGCAAGTGGCAAAAGCAAAGCCACTTCCGACATGTCCACTCCAGCGCGAGATGCCTGCCCACACTCTGGGCACAACCTCTCCATCTTAGATGGTCCCAAACTGAGGACTGGCTCAGCACTGGCATTCTAGTCTGCAAACTGAACCTTAGGCAGCAACTGTGACATCACCAGTCTTGGACAAGGGGACTGCTGTCCTGGCCCAGCATAGCTGCTCCTGTTCCATGGAGGTGCCACTCCCAAGCCAGCTGTGCTAGCTCTGGAGTGGCCAGTATCACAGACAGGATGGCATCCTCTGGCTGAGATGTTCTGTGTCTGGCCACTTAGTCTAGTATGATAGCTAATAATACTTGTTAACTTAACATGATCTAGAATCACTTAGGGAAACAAAAATATTCCTCCAAGTGTATCTGTGAGTTTCTAGACTGGGTTAATGGAAGTGGGAAGACCTACCCCGAATGTGGGTGGCACCACTCGGTAGGCTGGGGATGAATAAGAAGGAAGAAGTGAGCTGAGCGCCGGCGTTTCTTTCTCTCTGCTTCCTGACTATGGATGGACTGTGATCAGCAGCTCCCATCTGGAACTCCAGCCACCACGCCTTTCTAACCCCTACATGGTCTTGGGGGGACTGAAGTGTGCAGGAGATGAAAGGTGAGTGGGGTGGAGACTCCAGGGGTGCGGCTTTCATGGGTTGCCCTCCATCCTAGGTGAGTTTTTGGTAAATCAGTATCCTTTAAGTGCCCATACGCAGCACCTATGAGCTGGGGAGAGGCTCAGCAGTTGAACACACTTGCTGCTCTTGCAGAGGACCTGAGTTTAATTCCCCGATCCTGCATGATTGCTCTGTCACTTGTACCTCCAGTTCCAGGGGATCCAATGCCATCTTCTGACCACGCAGATGTCTACTTAACTTTTTACATGGCTTCTTGGATTTTGTGAGCCTAAGGGATCCTCCTCAGCCCTGGGATTGCATCCATGATTTGCCAGCATTTCTTACATGGATTCTGGGGGGTGGGACTCATGCTTGCTCCACATGCTAAGCCATCTTCCCAGTCTGGGGTCGGGGAGGTGGCTCAATAGTTAAAGAAAGCACTTACTATGCAAACATGAGGTCCTGAGTTCCAATGCCCAGAACCCATGGAAATGCTGGCTGGGCAATTCTATAATTCCAGCCTTCAAATGCAAAAGTGGGGACCCCCTCCCTCAGAGCAAGCTCAGTAGTGAGACAAGCTAGCCACGAGGGTGAGCTTCAGGCTTGCCTGAGAGACTCTGCCTCAATGAATAAGGTGGAAGATGATCAAGGGTGATTTCCCCACGTCCTCAGCCTCCACAGGCATGTACAACGACAACACACACACACACACACACACACACACACACACACACACACTAAATAAAAAGAAGAAAGGAGAAATGAAACGAGGAAGAGAATAAAAACCTCCTACACTCACCCGTAGCTGAGCTAATCTGAGAGCCTTGTTGGCAAGAATCCCTCCTGGTCTCATGGTTCAGCCAGACTCTCATACCATCAACAATCAAATTGTCAGGAAAAGATTATAATTGCTTAATCCGGAAGGACAAAGGGTAGAGAGGAACTTCCCATCTGTCAATAGTAGCAGAAGTGGGGATTATAAATTAGTTGGTAGCTTAGCTGATATTTTTAGAATGCTGCCAGCGAAGGAAGAGGGTTCTAAAAGCAGGAAAGTGATCTGAGCACAGCCTAATTCGGTAAAGATCACGGTTAGCTTAGCACCCTTTGTGAAGACACGATCGCCGGCAATGTGAGAGGATTTATCTGGAAAATTGCTTGGCAAGCAGAGTTTGATCTGGGACAGGCAAGCCTAGATGACCACAGGAGACCCTCTGGTGAGGCGTGCAGGAGACTGCTGAAGTTGTATTTAAAATGGACACTGGGTGTGTTTTGTGTGATCTGCGTCTGTGAAGAATTAGGTAATGTGCCTGGAGAGGTTTATTCTAAGGTAAGAGGTGAGGGAGGCTGGAAGAAGAGATGCTGCATTCCCAGCACTGCGTGTTTTTGCTGGATGTGATGGCATCCACCCGGGAGTCAAGCACTCAGGAGGTTGAAGTAGAGAGCTTGTGAGCTAGCCTGGATTCATAGTGAGACCCTTTTCCAAGAATAAGACAAAGGGAGGGTCAGGAGACGTGGCTCTATCAGGAGAGCCTAGCATGCCCAAGGCCTTGGGTTCCATACCCTGCACTTCAAAAACCAGGAGCGATTGTACATGTCTGTAATCCCAGCACTCAGGAGGTGGAGGCAGGGGGAATCAGGAGTTTAAGGTCATTCTACTACACAGCAGTGTTTGAGGCCAGACTGGGCTACGTGAGACCACCATCTCAAAAAAAAAAAAAAACAGAAAACAAAAACAAAAAAACAAAACAAACAAACCATACAAAAAGCCCCAAATCAAAAGAGCAACAGCAAACCCCAAAGCAGGAGGGAGAGATGCTTGCCTTGTAGACCTACCAATAAGTCCAAAAGTCTAATCCCCTGCTACAAACAAGGCTGATCTGTTGGTGGACGCCTGTAATTCCACAGCGGGTCTCTGGAGCTCACTGGCCAGTCGGCCCAGCAAATCAATAAGCTGTAGGGTTAGTGAAAAACCTGTCTTAGGAAGTAGACAGTGCCTGAGAAAGGATACGGGAGGATGCCCTCTGGCTTCTGTGTGCACATGTACACATGTGCATACACTCCCCAACACACACACACACACACACACACACACACACACATACACACATATACACACACACTCACCAGGAGAAGATCTCCCCTTCTGCTGGCAGCTTATCTATATAAAGGGCTTGCTCTTTTGCCTACTTTTATTGCTCTCGATAGTGAGCTCCTTCCTTCACTGGCCTTAGAACTAACTTCTTGAGGATTCTGGCATATACTGAAGACCTGCTGAAGACATCCTGCTTCACAGACTGAACAACTGTTGGATTCTTCTTAGACTTTCCATTGGGAGACAGCCACTGTTGGATTAGCTGGACCACAGCCTGTAAGGCATTCTAACAAAGCATATATATATTTTTTTCTGGAGAATCCTGACTAATACAATCGATGTACCAAGTACCAGTACCTCATTTCTTTTTCCCGCTAAATGATATTACTGTTTAGTGAGACCACATTTACTTACTCATTTTTATCTATTTATTAGTTTAAAAACTCTTTTTACTTACTCGTTTATCTGTGGGTGGATCTTTGGGAGTTGAAATTTGAGGCAGGGTATCACCATGCAGTCTGGGCTGTCTTCGAACTCAGGATCTCCAGAGTTGGCCTTCAGAGTGTCAGGGATACAGCGCTGTGGGCCACCACAGCTATTCAATTAATATTTTTTGTGAATGCATTTTTTTTAAAAATTAGATGCTCTTGTGCACTCCTTACTGGCCCTGAAGAGTTTAAGGCAGAAAACCAGCCATTTTCCGTGTTGCCAAGCCTGGCTCAGAGCAAGCCTGAGGCCAGTGTTGCCCAACTCCCCAGTGTCTTCTGGGTGAACATGCTCCACTAGCCCACAGGGCCAGAAGCAGGAGACCAGGAGTGACCACACCCAATACTCTATCAGCGGGAGTAATGACATGGGACTCCAGCACTAAGGAGGTTAAAGCAGGAGGATTGCATGTTTGAGGTTAGCGCAGACTACGTAGAAATGCCTTGTCTCAATACAAAATAGGAGATGGCTCGATGGTTAACCGTGTAACTCCAATCCCAGGGGATCTGACATCCTCTTCTGACCACCACAGGAATGCACATGGCACACATACATGCTGGTAAAACACACGTATGCATAAAATATTTTTTCGAGATAGGGTTTCACTGTGTAACTGCCTTGGATGTCCTGAAACTTGCCCTGTAGATCGAACTGGCCTCTAACTCAGACAGATCTGCCTGCCTCTGCCTCCCGAGGACTGGGGTTAAAGGCTTGAGCCACCATCGCCCGGCCAAAAAATAAAAAAATAAAAAATAAAAACTCTAAAATACCGCCAGTAGGCTGTTGAAGTTCTCTACTCTCGATAAATCCTGAGGTCTAAACTCATCTCCAGGGATACAGTCCCATCTCTCTGTGGTTCTTTCTGCTTCTGCTTGCTGTGCAAAACCTGCAGAGAAAACGCGCGGTTCACACCACAGTGCGTCCAACCCATCGCGCGCCTGCCACCTAGCGGCCAGAGCCTGGAAGGATAAGGACTCGCCTTCTTCCACAGGGGCCAGAGACACCTTCCACCAGGCTAGTCCGGAGCAGAGGGGCGGCTTTGCAACAGCATGGAGGAATCTTAACTGCAGGACACTTGGTCGTTGGAATGACTGCGGAGTTTTGTTTTTTTTTATAACCCCTGTATTTTCTCCCTTCCCGCTCCTACCCACTTCCCTTCCTTCGCTTCCCTCCTCTCCCTTCTCTTCAGTTCCCACCATTTGAACTCCGTGCTCTGAGCTCTGTGTGTCTGTCCCTCCCCTTGGGCATACATACAGGTGGTTGCTGGGCAGTTGCCCGGTGATTTGAAGTCAGCACTACCCAGTTAACAGTGTCTACGGGGAGCACACACTGCATGGGAGGCTGGGGCTGGGCTGTCAGGGATGACACCTTTCCTAGTCTGGTGACCTTGCATTCTATCTGTGGAGCAGCAGGTGATGGCTGTCATCCTCAGGAGCCATTAACTCACAATGAATCCTTGTCTGCCTCAGTTTCCCTGCCATTCATAGCCCCATCCAAGGGGCTTTGCTATGTGCAGGTCTGGTGGACTTGACCTGGCCACTGCCACCCCTAACCCCAGCCCAGCAAACCTGAAGAATGGATGCCTGGTCAGTGAGCTGCCTGTAAGCTGCATGGGAGGAGCAGGTTGCATCAGATGGGCAGAGGCAGCCGGAGCCTCAGTTACGGATATGAAGTAAGAGCTCATCCTGGTGGCATAGGCTTTCATCCAGCTCTCTGCCAAGCTGAGGCAAGAGTGCTGCAAGTTCAAGGCTGGACTGGGGTACACAGGGAGTTCAATGCCAGCCTGGATAACTTAGTGAAACGCTACCCTAAAAAGTAAAAAAGGATCAGGTGGTGGAGGCACACACCTTTAATCCCAGCACTCAAGAGGCAGAGGCAGGTGGATCTCTGTGAGTTCAAGGCCAGCCTGGTCTACAGAATGAGTTCCATGACAGCCAGGGCTACACAGAGAAACCCTGTCTAGATGAAACAAAATATAAAAATAAAATAAAAATAATAAATAAGTAAATGGCCTTGAACTTGGGGTATAACTCATCAATGAAAAGTGTGCCTAGAATTTCCCAATGAGGGGCTGGGGGTGTGGCTCAGTGGCAGAGCACCTACCTAGAATCCCCCAGTGAGGGTCTGGAGTGTGGCTCAATGATACAGTGCTCTACTACTATGCTTGAGAACCTGTGTGTGCTCCTGCCACAGTCCCCTCAGGTCTCTATCCCTAGTACTTAAAGGAAAACAATTTCTTCAGATGCTCTTAACAGTGAGACCCAGTGTCTGGGGCATCTTCTTTGTCCCCTGGCAGACAAGTTCTCTGACACCTTACTTTAGTGCCTGAATTTTTAAGTGAGAATCAACCTCCCAAATTAAGTCTCTAATTCCCAAGTAAGTCAAGCAGCTATTTTTCTTGCAAATCTTGCATGAACATAA